TGGACATCCCAAGTCCCAGCCAGGCTGACAGCTGAATTAAATCACACATGTGATCCCAAGAGAGATCACATGAAGCAAAAGAATCGCCCTCCTAACTCTGAATCATGAGAAATAATAAAATCATTATTGTTTTATGTCATTGAATTTTTGGGTATATTGTTATACAATAGATAGCTGAAACACAATGATTCAGGGTTGTTAGCATTATATGAGGCTAATCCTGAGCACTTTACACAAGAAGTACTTACTACAGTTACAAAAAAAACCATCCAGGGGATCCTTTCATTACCTGCAGGTGTGTCCTCTGGGAAGCCTTATTCCCATAGGCATTTGCTACTGCCAATTACCACCTTTTGAAAGATTGGTTTCCTGAGACAAATGAGTTTTTTGCTTTGTTTTGGCTACAACCTCTTCTTTTACATTTCTTTAGAGTGTATGTGTCCCCAGGCAGAAGACAACTTGCAGCAATTGGTTCTCTCCTTCCACCTTGCAAGTTCTGGGAATCAAATTCAGGTTTTCAGGCTTGGCAGCAAGCTCTTTTATCCACCTTTCTGAGCCATCTTGCTGGCTCTTGACTACAACGTCTGACAAATGAACTGTGCATCGTGAGTAAAAGGTTCTACTTAGATTGGCCATCTATCCCACCTACCTATCTATGCATCACATCCTTATTAAGCCCTAATGATCACCAAACATCAATTAAGAATGGATGAAGGCTAGCCTCCTTCCTTTAAAGGAGGAACAATTTCCACCTGTGCAGCTACTAACTGAAGGGACTATATTAGAACTCAACAGAGAGAATCTGTAGTAGACAAATCTAAAATAATCTAACTAGATAAAAATAGGTTTAAGCTTCCATGCAGGGCTCAGATATATAACAGGACAGCACTATTAGGGTTCCAAACAGCAGCAGCTTCTCCCTTCCCCAGGTAGAGCAGCCAGGGACCACATGATCACTTGCCTCCTGACAGGTCTTCAGAGAGCTTCGCGCCCTAAGGTAGTTAACTTTGAGAAGCTTAGATTGATTACTCAGGGCTCTGCTGAAACCCCAGCTCAGTTTATGGACAGACTCACTGATGCTCTGGTCCAGTATACCAAGTATGACCCAGAGTCTGCAGAGGGACAGCTTATGCTTCACTACCACTTTATCTTACAAGTACATGATTCTGATTGGAGATCCTAGAAACAATACAAAGAGCAAGGACTGAAATGGCTCCCCAAAAAGTTCATTCCTTAATGACCCTAACCCTAACCCTCAGAGTTCCATTCACAAAGCCTGGGCCCCAAGTGAGAAAAGAACTTGACCATCTGGCATTCATTACCTATCTTTGAGTGCACAATGAATCCAAGCAGTCAAAAATTCACAACTGCAAGAAAGGATCTTAAACAGCTTTCAACTCCATTTGTGAATTCAATTATGATTGGTAACACTAAATTAAAATAACCTTTTAATCTTAGGAATAAAGAAACCAATTTTGTTCTCAAAATGGCTGACATCAACACTCAAACCAAAGAAAGAATCAAATCTGCATTTTCTGCACACAGTCCACCAACCTGGGCACACTTATTCTAGAGAAGCTCAGTAAAATTCCAAGTGTTTAATTATAAAATATCACGATGGAGGAGGGAGTATCTCAGAAGTAGAGCACTTGTCTAGCATGCACAAGGAACTAGTTTTGATCCCTAGCACCTATATAATATATTCCTAATCTAATATCCTTGAAAGTTCAGTTGTACTCATTCCAATAAAAAACAAAACAACTTAGTCCTAGGCTGGCAAAACAGCTCAGCAGGTAAAGGCACTTGCTACCCACACGGTGAAGGAAAGAACTGACTCCTGCAAGTGGTCCTCTGATTAACACAGCTGTGTGGCACTCACCTCCCACCCATAAATGTATTTTTTGGGGGGTGGGGGTCTTTTTGAGACAAGGTCTCCCTATAGCCCCAGCTGGCTTGGAACTTGCTAAGTAGACCAGCCTGGCCTTGATCTCACAAAGACCCGCCCACCAGCCTCTGCCTCTGAGTGCTGGGACTAAAGGCATGCGTTACCACACCCAGCTCCAAATATAATTTTTTTTAAAAAACAGCTTCACTTTATTCATTCACACATACCCCAAGCAGGAAGTAAACAATATTCTGATCTTAAACAGCTTCAACTCCATTTGTGAATCACTACACATATTCTTTTTTGGGAGATGTAGAGCCTCACTATGTAGACCAGGCTGGCCTCCAACTTAGAGAGGTCCGCCTGCCCCTGTCTCCTGAGTCTTGGGATTAAAGACTTGTGCCACCATGCCCAACCATACCATACATACATTCTTTTCGCCTATTCATGAATTTCAAATACATTCATGTGGTCTTGTCTGCCTGCTTTCTTTCGTTCATCACAGGGTTATTTTGCTTTGAAGCAGAGAATCCAGAAGCTGAGATTTATTTTTATGAAATTCCCCTTTGAGGTCACAAACCTGAATGCTGATAGGTAAAAGTACCTGTATGACCTATAGGGTTGGTCAGGAGAAAGCACTAGGACACAGATAAAACTCCATCAGAATAAAGTTTATTAGCAAAGAAACACATGGTACAGATTCCCTTCTGGGCAGGGAAAACATCTGCCTGGGTTGTGAGCTGGGGTCTTTTAAAGGGGGAGGCTTCTGCTTCCCACAGAAGGCAGGAAGATTTATTTTTTTTTAAAGTTGGGGGGGGGTCGGGGACATGGGATGGAACTGTTAAAACCTGCCCTCTTTAGAAATCAAAGGGGAAGCCTGCTGTGTTGGCCAAACAGTGGAGAAAAGTCTGCTTCTCTTGACTTCAAAGACCAGGGTGCTTATCAACTCAGTTCCCTTTTCTCAGGGGCTTGTGAGGTCCATGAGGCCCTGTTGGTAAGGGGGTGGGGCTATCTGAACCTTAACAAATGCCAGCTACTCTGGTTCCACTGGTTACCTTCTGCTTCCTCCCAAGTTACAAAAACTTCCACAACAAAATAGAAATATTGGGTTGTGAAAGTTTTCTTTTAAAATAAACTAAGTCATTTAAAGGTATTCAAAGATTCTATTCAATTTCCTCAAGGTGTGTAGCTCCCATATTAACTGCAAAATTCTCACTAAACAATATTTTTTAAAATTTTATTTTTTTTATTTATGTGTATGAGTGTAATGCCTGCATGTATGTAAGTGCACCCATGCCATGAAATGCCCATGGAAGTCAGAAGGTGTCGGATCCATTAGAACTGGAGTTTTGGATGGTTAACCACTATGTGGGTGCTGAGAACCGAACCCGGGTCCTCTGCAAGAACAGTCAGTGCTCTTAACTGCTGAGCTATCTCTCCAGCCCCACTAAACAATATTTTTATTCCATAGAAATCCACCTATTCTAAAGAATCCTCAAATCCTAGAATAAAATAAAACATCAACTCTGTTACTACTTTTTTTTGGGGGGGGTCTTTTTGAGATAGGGTCTCCCGGTAGCCCCAACTGCCTGGCACTCACTATGTAGACCAGGCTGACCTTGATCTCACAGAGATCTGCCTGCCTCTGCCTCCAGAGCACTGGGACTCAGGGTATGTACCATCACATCCTGCTTCTGTCACTACTTTTGATTAATAGGATTTAAACAAGGAAAATCTCTCAGAACTCTAAGGCCCTAAATCCAGATGTGAGTTACCATAGAAAAGCCAAAAGAGAGACTAAAGTGCAGCAATAAATTATAGGTACAGATTTTTTTTTTTTTGAGACAAGTAACCCCAACTGGCCTAGAACTCACTATGCAGATCAAGCTGGTCTTGAACTCACAGAGATTCACCTAGCTCTGCATTCAGAGTGCTGAGATCAAAGGCATATACTACCATGCCCGGCTACAGATTCAGGTTTTTATGCTAAACTCTCAGGATTCTTATCTGGGACATGCTGCTTCTTGCTGAGTGACCTTGGACAAATTGTGACTCTGTCCCTCAATTATCTCACAGTAAAATGGGAACAAACTCACAGGATTGTTGCAAGGATTAAATGTTAATGTACATAAAGTTCTTAGGAAACTACTTAATATAGGATAAACACACTATTTTAAAGCTAACAGCTATGAGAGCAGCTATTCTATAAACCAAAGGGTTATAAAAGTCACAAGACATGTATGTAGCACAATGCTTCTCAAGAAATTTTATTTATTTTCTTATATTTTACTTATTGTTTTTATTTTATGTGTATGAGTGTATTGCCTGCATGTAGATAGGTGCGCCCATGTCCTGCAATGCCTGCAGAGTTCAGAAGGCAGTGTTGGATTCCCTGGAACTGGACAGACAATTGTTAGCGCCATGTGGGTGCTGGGAATTGAACCCGGGTCCTCTGTAAGGACAGTCATTGCTCTTAACTGCTGAGTCATCTCTCCAGCCCCAAGATGTTTTATTTTTAATTCTGCACTGATTGATACTTTCTGTAAAAGTTACATGCTTAACTGTCATAGGAGTGTCAAATAGCTCTTCAAGGTAAGCATTTACTCTCACTTTCTTCAGTTCTCATTAAGAGTAAGAGTTCAGTTCTCATTAAGAGTAAGAGTTCACTGTCTGTGAATGAACTACTTTCTTTGAGTAGCACTGTTCTAGCATACAGGAAGGACAGAAAACAACTGCAATCTCAACCAGCAGGTTAGTCAGAATTAGGAAAGAGTAAAGAAAACCAACCCCAAAGGAAAGGCAAGAGAATGACTTCAGGGTCAACAAGCTGAAAAATACAATAACCCCAACAAGCTGCACCTGAAAAACAAAACTAGCTACTACAGGATTTCCCTATCAGTACGCTAAGAGATGGCCTCTAAAGAACATGTTGGCCAGGAAGTCACCCTTCTAGAGGAAACAAGAGACATGAAGAAAGAAAGCAGAACTGACTCAGGCCTCTTGAGTGTGAAGCCATTCTGAGCCATCAGCACCAAACAATCAATCACAAAGGCCAGTTTCCACTGCATGTTTTCTTTGGTGGTGTGAGACTGCACACATATTCACAGACACTTACCTGTGGTCTTAGGAGGCTCTTGAGGTCCACCCTGCCAGCCGTACTGTGGGTATCCTTGATAGGGGTACCCCTGAGGAGGTGGGTAGGGTCCCCCCATTGGCCCCATTGGTTGTTGTGGATAAGGTGGGTATGGGGCCGTTGGGCCCGGGCCTGGATATGGTGGTGGGTTCTCCGGATTCATGAGGAACCTGGCAAGGCACCTAAGAGACAAAAAGAATGAAAATTATTGCTTAAACTTATGGAAATCATCAGGAAAAAAAATCTAACTAATGAGATCATTACAAAATGATATAGGTGCCTCAAGATTAGAAAACCTCTAGCCTTGTCCATCTTCATTTATTCTCATCATAACCACAACTGACCATTATCTTACATATCTGCTTATTTTCCTTTTGTCTCCCTTACTAAATAGTAGGCTGTGACAATGGATCAAGTCAGTTTTGGATCACCACCATGTCCTTAGAGGCTTGCCTAGTGCCTGTACAGGGTAGTAAATGAGTTACAAGATTTTTTTTTTTTTTTTTGTCTTTTTGAGACAGGGTCTCCCTGTAGTCCCAGCTGTCTTGGAACTCACTATGTAGACCAAGCTGTCCTCCTGCCTCTGCCTCCCGAGTGCTGGGATTAAAGGCGTGTGCCACCATGCCCGGCAATATTTTGTTTTTAAATTAACTGAAATGTACAAGTATGGTTGGACTGCCTTGTGATAGCAGAAAATCTAATACTATTAACTATCAAAAAGATCACTAGAAGCTGACCCATTACTAGAAAACCTTCTAATAAACAGAGTTAGGGGACAGTGGTGTCTAACAGGCAGCACTGCTAGCAGTGACCAGACAGTGTTTCTGCCTTGGGCACTAAGATATGGTTGTTCTTTCCAGACTCACTGCCCTTAGCAGTTGAACTGTCTATGGAGAATGCTGAGCAAAAATTTCCTCTATGCTTCTAGGCTCCCAAGACTCTGGAGGACCCACCAGGAATCCTCACTTGAGTTTGCTTCCCATCACCCAAGCCTATTAAATATTCTTTTAACTGGACTTGAGGCTTTGAGGTCAACATATTGCTTCCATCATCTCTGTAATCTCTACAGTGCCTGGCACAGCAACTTCCAGATTAAAAGCAAACAAATCATTACTGGTGAACAAATTACACTGTACATGAGTCACACAACATGGCATCTGCCATAATGTCCTACCTTATACTCTTGTTCCCTTATCTCCTATACTGATATTTCACTTTTTACCTATTTGAATATCTTCTAACTTCAATTAAATAGTAGGAAAGAGTCTAACAATTACCAGTTAGTAATTTCCCTATTAATTCTTCTTTAGAACATCATGTAATCAATAATTTCCTAAGTGATTTTATGAAAGCCAGAATGGTCATAAGGTCCCCTACAGATTATGGATTAAAGCTATAATGAGTTTTGCTGGTTACACATATAACTTCATTATTCTCCTTTCCTAATAGTAGTCAGATTCCCAGTTAGGCATCATCCACTCTTCCTGTAGCTCATACACTCCAAGAAAAGCCCATCTCATCCCATCTCAAACTGCCTAAACCAGTAAAGGTTGGCATCTCTCCTTTTCACCACAACTGATTCAAGGAATCCAGTACTGAGCCAATCACAAATGTCACCCTTGGCCACTAGGACTGGTTCTGAAATGGTTCAACTAGTAAAAAGCTCTCCTCTTACCTAAGCTCCCATTCTCCTTAACATAAGCACACAAAGTCTATGAAAGAGTGCTAAAAATTGCTACTAAACAATCTGCAACTCTGTCAACCCTAAGATGAAGTGGACACTTCAAAAAAGGCAGCATAAAGAGAAAGAAGTAGAATTCCAGCTTATTTTATAACAGCCCATAAATCAAAGCCTTAAGCCTGGCCTAACCCAACTGCTTCTACAGTTTCTAGTCCTGGGAACCAACAGTAAAGGGTAAGCTAACAAGCAGTGAGATTTCACCAAACATATATTTAGGTAGGGCCAACTCACTGGGCTAAGTAGTTAGGAGTAAGTACAAATGTGGCTCAAGCTCTCCCCTTAGGCAAATGATAGAAAAGACAAACAAAAAGACTGCTAAAGTAATGGCTTAAACTCAGCAGAAGATGTGGGGGTAGAGGGAAAGTCCCTTAAAGGAGGAAATTATAAATTGAAACTATAATATGGAATCAGAAGGGTCTTTATTTTACCACATCTGCATTGGGTCCCCTGTTTTAAAGACTGTTATATTTCCGGGATCTAACAGGGACTCAAAAAAAACAGAAGGGCTGGGGAGATTGGCTCGGTGGGTAAAGTCCTTGTTGCACAGGGTGGGGACCTGAGTTAGAATACCCAGAACCTATGTAAAGCCAGGCTCTACAGAACATGTGTGTGTCTGTAATCCCATATAAACAGCACTGAAAAATAAAAGAGAGACCCTGTTTCAAACAAAGTAAAAAGTAAGGACCAATACCCAAGGTTGCCCTCCATATACACATCATGGCAAGTACACATATATAAACACTCACACACATACACACAAACAAAAAAAATTCTTTAACCCCTGTTCTTTGGCCTCTGGTATAGTTCAACGGGCATCACATCCTAATCTAGGAAGCCTTTCCCACCATGACTAATACTACATGCATCATCTGAATATAGACATAGGTAAATGCTGGTTACTTGTATATTTTGTCTCTTCTCCCCTACCTGGAAGGCTGTGGAAAAACTAGTGTACCCTTGTTAATTCAGTGATCAGTCTCATTAACCCTTATATGGCCACTCCATATTTATTTTTAAATCACACAAGTAGAACACAGCCAGCCATCGTAGCTACTCTGTCTTGAAATTCAGTGTGTAACCTAATTTCATTAAAACTAGTTTAACTTGATCAGCCCAACAAGCCTGTGTAGTAATGACCATTCTCATTCTAGGCAAAGCTTCGACTATTTTTCTTTGGATACTATTCTAAGAACAGTGAGCAGTGAAGAGGAAAAAAGAATGAAGAATGCAGAACTACAACCTCACACCTCTGTATTCCATGGCTTTTCTTGACCCATTTGTTTGCTTTGGTTCCTCACCATCCTCTATAGTCCTGGGGCCCTCAAAATACTCTTCTAAGTATATGCATCTTTCCTCTGTCCCCTCAATCATGTTTTACCCTCATACTTTTATAAGTATGTACCTTTCTCCCATTGTCCAAGGAATAACACGTCTAAAGGGGAAAAGTCCAATTTGTTATTCACAGAGGCCACCTACCTACAAATAGCATAAGCCCTGCAACCATGAATAGCTCACCACCCCCATACACTCCTGCATCCCCCAGACAGTCATTTGGTCTATTTTCAGTTTCTTCTAAATGGGGTGGGGGTAAGGGGGAACCACAGTAAGACAACAGTAAAAGCCACACAAAGAGAATCTGAACTAAATCAAGATCCTGGACCTGGAATTTGAAAAGCAGGACTTCACCCAGTGCAAATCAACTGTAGTACAGCTAGTAAAACAAAACAAAACAAAAAGTGAAAAAGATTACCTAACACAGACACATCTGTTACAAACCACACTGCATAATGAAAGTACAAATGAGTTTTAAATTTAAGGTGTGATACTGAACTTTGTAACATACCCAATTTCTCTACTATATTTGGTCAGGTAAAACACAGCCTTACTAACAGGGAGTGTTGCATTAAAGATCAAGTGTAAACAGAATGGAGCATTAAAGACAAATGAGAGCTTCAAAAGGGAGAGCTGAAAGGGTCCAGCAGTCAGGATCCATTAATAGACTATACTGTCCACTGCTATCCAACTATCTCATTCAAGATACCCTCAAGAATCACAGGATTAGTAGTCCTTCACCGGTACAGCCCTGAGAAGGACAGAAGTTATTTGCAAAAGTGGTCCATGGAAATAAGACACTAGAAGACCTCATCAAAATAGATATTTAAGAAATAAAAAAAAAAAATGACCCTGAAGAACATTATTACCTTATAATCTACCTGGCAGCTGCTGGCATTGCTTCTGCAGGCAGGATGATGGATAAGTTTCCAGGAAACGGAACAATCTTAAACATAAAATCAGATACTGATACTTGAGAAAACAAGGAAATGGCTTATCCAATCAACGACATGAACTTCTGGCTTTTTATTGCCTCATATGTAAATGAATGGACAAAAATTATCAGACATTGTAGGGAAAGCATTCAACTTAAAAGACCAAAATAGCTGGGCATGGTGGCGCAGGCCTTTAATCCCAGCACTTGGGAGGCAGAGGCAGGCAGATCTCTCTGAGTTCAAGGCCAGCCTGGTCTACATAGTGAGTTCCAGGACAGCTGGGAAAAAAAAAAAAAAAAGACCAAAATAGGGGCTGGGGAGATGGTTCAGTGGTTAAGTGCACTGGCTGCTCTTCCAAAGGACCTGGGTTCAGTTCCCAGGACCCACATAACAGCTAACAACCATCCATAACTCCAGCTCCAGGGATATGACGCCCTCTTCTGGCCTCACCAGGCATTTCATGACATGGATGCACTTACACACATACAGGCAAAAACACTCATACACATAAAAATAAATCCAAAAAAAAATTTTTTTAAGCCCAAAATAGGCACTGGCAAGATGGCTCAGTGGGTAAAGGAACTTCCTTCAAATCTGATGTCTCAAATTCTATCCTCAGAACCCACATGATAGAAGGAAAGAACCAACTCCCACAAGTTGTCCTCTTACTTCTACACACACACATTGTGGCATGTGTGCACATACAAACACACACACACAATAAGTAAATGAAAAAAAAAAGAGAAAAAAATAAAGTAGGAAAAAGAAAACATAAATATCTAAAAAAAAGAAGTTAAATTATGGGATATCTATATATTAGTTGTGGGGTTTGTCTATTGGTAGGCTTTGTTTTAATTTTTCTTTGTGTGTATGTGTATAGGTGTGGTGCTGAAGATTGAACCCAAGGACTCATACAAGCTAGGCACGTGCTCTGATACTGATCTACACCTTCAGCCATTAGTTTTTTAAATAATGGTATATTCATACAGAAATAAAAGAGACTGCCTAGTAATAATAAAGTACTATTACTATACCAACATGGGTAAATCCCAGAGACAGATGAACAAAAGTAGTCAGACTCAACCTTCTTCATTGATACTCTATAATTCCATTTATATGTGGTGCAAGAACAGTCAAGACAATCTAGGGACACTTAGGGAGACACAGAAAGGAACCTTCAGGCATGGCAGAAAAAGCCTATGTCTTGAGCTGAGACATGCTTACATAAAAATGTATGAATTTACTGCGTTGAAGAGTTAAGGTTTTCATATTCTAGGTTGTAAAGCAAGGAAATTCTATTTAGCTACACGTAAAAAATCCACAGTGGCCAGGCGAGGTGGTGGACGCCTTTAATCCCAGCAGAGGCAGAGGCAGGGGAATCTCTGTGAGTTCAAGGCCAGCCTAGTCTACATAGCGAGTTCCAGGTCAGCTGGGGCTACAGGGAGACCCTGTCTCAGGAAAAAAAAAAAAAAAATCGTGATTTGCCTAGGGTGCTGAAATTATGGGCAATAGGCAATTTTGTTTTTTATTATTTATACTTGTCTGTTGCTAAAATTTAAAGTTTTTCCCTAATGCTTTTTGAATGTTTATGCTGCCCACTCCTTTTTAATGGCTCCCTCACCTCTTAATACCTTACCCACTTTTGATACACCAGATTTCCTTCCTATTACTAATCTTCCCCTTACTAACAATCTATTCCACATCTGTTCTTTACTGCTTTTGCTGTGACTCTGGTAGATGTGACTCTTTTCTCAGAACTGAGAAGATATCTGGCTGGAAATAAGACACAGAGTAAAAAAAAAACAGTTCTTGTGGTTACATGGATATTTCCCCACCTTTGATTCTTATTATTAAAGCCTGAAGTCTGATACTTCTATCCTTAAATATCTTTCTTGGCAACTTTTAAAATCGTCTTTAGCTGGGTGTGTTGGTGCATGCCTTTAATCCCAGCACTCAGGAGGCAGAGGCAGGGATCCTTGTGAGTTCAAGGCCAGCCCGGTCTACAGAGTGAGTTCAGGTCAGCTGGGACTACAGGGAGACCCTGTCTCAAAAAAAAAAAAAAAAAAAAAAAAAAAAAATCGTCTTTAAAGTTTAAAAACATGAGAACAGATCTGAACCTAAAGATCTCCAACTCTTTTAGCTGCCCTTTTAACAGGACTTTTGTAAATAGATTATCTTATATTCTAGGTCTCAGTTTTTCTTGAATCCTTACCCATAATTTTGTGTGTAGACTGTTGGGCTTAATAACTCTAGAATAACCAGTTTTATGCAATCATCTATCTCTGGTTTAGTTTTCATTGCACAGTAGTATTGTCATGTTACCTAATTCCATTCACTTGTGTCATTTATTCAGTCCATGAAAACTGCCTGGAACATCAACTATAACTCTGCATTAGTGGTTCCTGCACTACCGAGACAGTGCCTCTTCAGATTACAGAGACAGACAGACAGTAACAGCAATTACGAAACCAACCTATGATATGGGAAGCAGAATATTGTGAGGGCAAAAGCAGATGAGCAGACAGGAAGTTCAAACTTCTGAGCAGAAGTGATAATCATATTGAGAGTGAGCCGGTTAGTTTTGCCAACTTGACACAAACTAGTCACCCAGGAAGAGGGAACTTCAACTGAGGAACTGACTGAGGAATTGACTCCATAAGACAGGCCTGTGGCCATGTCTGTGAGGCATTTTCTTAACTGCTAATTAATGTAGGAGGGCCCAGACCATGGTGGGCCTGGGCTGTATAAGAAAGGCAGCTGAACAAACCGGGGGGGGGAAAGCAAGCCAATAAACAGTAATTCCTCAGTGGTCTCTGCTTCAGGCCCTGCCTCCAGGTTCCTCCCTTGTCCTGCTCTGACATTCCTCAATGTTGAATGCTGGACTGTAACCCGGAAAGGTCAGCCTTTATAAACCCTTTCCTCTTCAAGTTGTTTTTGGTCAGAGTCTTTTTTTTTTTTTTTCCTGGAGCTGAGGACTGAACCCAGGGCTTTGAGCTTGCTAGGCAAGCGCTCTACCACTGAGCTAAATCCCCAACCCTGGTCAGAGTCTTTTATCACAACAACAGAAATCAAACTGGGATAAGGAGCCAAGTACAGACAGAAATTTCAGTTACTCCAATTTCACACTTCAGTCTCAGGCAACAATCTAAGAAATCTCAGAGAAAGAACAAAGTACGTTTCAGAGATAGAACACGTTCACTGTGGCCAAAGCCTGCTGTATAAAATGAGGCTAAAAGTCAGCACACCCTTGCTAAGAGTAGACTCTCTGGATCCTTCTTCAGTTAGGGTTTTTTTTTTTTTTTTGGTCTTTTTGAGACAGGGTCTCCCTGCAGCCCTGGCTGGCCTGGAATTCGCTTTGTAGACCAGGCTAGCCTTGAACTCACAGAGATCCACCTGCCTCTGCCTCAGCCTCTCAAGTGCTGGGACTAAAGGCATGGGACTGGGCCCAAAGACAGTGTCTCACTATATAGCCTGGCTGGCTTGGAGCTTTCTATATAGACCAGGTGTGTATACCAAGCCCTACCTCTCTACTGTTTTTAAAAGAAATCTTGTAACTTTATTTACATTTGTCTGCCAGATATCACCAGCCAACGTAATTATTTACTTAATTCTATTTATGAAACACCTACTAAATGTCAGGCCCAGAGCTGAGCAATCAAGAAAAAGAACACTAACATTAGTTTAGGCTTTGTGGGAAAATTGAAAATAAAAATAAAATGATCTTTTCCATTAGTTTATTATTGTATTAAATGGAAAATCTGGAAGTTCTTCATATTTCAAAGCTATGTGAAGAGTTTGGCTATACAAAAACTGGACAAAACTCACTTCAAGAAGTCCAGAGGACACCACAAAGTTATACAATGTTACTGAAACTAGGGTACCCTAGAACAAGTCAGGAAAGACATGCCAAACAAGTGAATGTACACTGAGCAGAGGGAAACACAGCCGTCTCAAATTCAAAGCCCAAAGTCCCAAGCACATGCATTTCAGAACTGCAGGCCTTCACCTTGGAAGTACTCCTGATATGGAGAATGGAACACAGGGAGCTAGAGCAGGGATTCACAAAGATGGTGGTACTGCTCCCAGTAGCAGCACACCCATAGTCCTCTGGTCCTTAGCATAACATGCGTAAGTCCTCTCATTTTATAACTTGCTCACCATTTCTAACATATTTTGCTGTATACAGCCATTTCCTAAATTTTGTTTTAGGGATAGACTGGAAAATGTCAACCTGCACTGGTATTCACTTGTCCAAATCCTGATTCTGGTATCAATCCCCCAAAATATTTCTAGCCATCCCCTACCTTGTGCATAATCTTATGCTTATCAGAGTTTCACCAGTATCTGAGCTAACCTCATCTAATCAACGAATGAATAAATAGTAGAGTATGTCTTCCATAGACATCTTGGCTTGTAGCTTTAGAATACCCTCTCTGTGCACATAACACACAGCTCAGATAGGGGACTTAACAAAATCATCAAAGTACACATAGTGAGTGTCTATCTCTGGAGACCTCAGAAATAGTCTTATTTTCAGTTCTCACAGAGAATATTTAATGTAAAAGCTTTGTCACTTTTGAAGTACAGACCTGGAGGCTGAAGAGACGACTTAGTGGTTAAGAGAGTGTACTACTTTTCCAGAGGACTTAAGTTCAGTTCCCAGCACCCATATAAGGCAGCGCACGACTGCCCATTACTCTAGCTCCAGAGGATCCAACACCCTCTTCTGGCCTCCATGGGCACTGCATACACATGCACATATCTATACATAAACACATACATATAATTTAAAGTAATAAAAAATAAGCTGGGTGTGGTAGCAACACTCCTTTAATTCCAGCACTCAGGACGTGGAGGAAGATGAATCTCTGTGAAATAGAGATTGGTGTACATAGTTGAGTTCCAGGTCAGCTTGGGCTAAAGGAATACCCTGTCTCAAAATAAATAAATAAATATATATAAATAATAAAAATAAATCTTTAAAACACAGACCTGTAATCAAAACACACTC